ATTGGAGCAGAACAAGATTAATGTGGGCTACCATGCTGCCTCCATAAGCTGAAAAGTATTCACAGGCATGGTCCTGAAATGTAATCTAAATTAATAAGTAACTGGAGTAGTGATGGCCTGAAGTAACCTGATGCCACTGTTATGAATGGCTCTGGCCGTGCTCATTTGATTCCACGCCCACTTTTAACCCTTTTTTATCTCCTGGTTTGCTGCCTTCTCCCTCTGTTTTGGCCATTCCCACGCCAAAGCAGAAAGGATGAAAGGCAGCCTGAGAGGAAATACTTCCAACTGCAGGATGAGCTGTAGGGTTGTAAGATGAGGTCAAGATTCCAAGTGTCCATCAACTGCCTCTCTTGGATCATCTAGAGAAAGCACAAACACTTTCCACCAGCTCTTAAGGTGCTGACAGATGGGCTCTGGGCAGCCTTGCTGCAGCATGTTAAGGGAATATTGCTCCTTATCATTGGCTCCGTGCCCCAGCAGGAGCTTTTGCCTGCATCTCAGTTGCTTGTGAAGTGTCTGAGGCTGCACCGCAGATGAGGCTGGGACTAAAGTGAAGGCACTGGGCCATGAGCTCCTGCAACTGTGGCACAAACACAGTTTTCCCTGCAAGGCATAAGCCACTGGCAGTCAGGCAGGGTTAGCTTAGGCTGGTCAACTCCTCCGGGGCAAGCAGAGCTCTCCACACCTTGTCCATCAGCTCCCAAAGCGTGTGTGACTGCTTCCTGCAGATGATCTTAGCTCTGTACTTGATGGACTTACAAGAGTGGGTTTGTTCCTGTGACCTTTATCAGCACAAGTTGTCTACTGAAGTCAACCAGGACTTCTCAGGTGGGAAAGGATTGCACATGTGGAGTAAAGGATGGGAACTGGGGCAGCAGAGATTTCTGCTGACATCCTTTGTTGAGAGGTATTTTGCACAACTTATTCTTGTTGGTGTTAAAGCTATAGACTAATGGAAACAAAGTGCAACGAGAGCTGAATTAGTGACCTATTTCCCCCATTTTTGACAAAGGTGAGATACACATCAGCTATTAAGCAACAACTGGAAGATCTCAGTGCCACTGTCTGCAGCCACCTTCCTGTTGTGTTACACATCATGATTTGTTGTTAAATTCAGATTTTCAGGCTTGGTAAACAAAGGAATGACCCAAGTGCATGCTGCTGCTAATCTCCACACACATCTGCAGCAGGGTTGTGATTTCCCTCAACATTAAATTGATCTCTAAACTGGCCCCTTGAATACTCCACGAATGAACAGGCAGCTGAGTGGGAAGGTTATGAGATGAGTTCCTGAGCTGTCCTGCATGTCCTGGGATGACCACAGTGGTTCCTCTTGTCACGGTCTGCCACCACACTGCCATTCCTCTACAGCAGTGCCAGGGCTCACCAGATGAAGGGAGCCTACATGGAGTAGATGAAACCTCATGTGCTGTACGCAAGAAAGTGCTGGGAGAAGAAAAGCATGTAAGGTCAGGCCTGCTCCAAGAAGAAAGTGTATCAGCCTGGGTTATTTTTGCTAATTAAGTCAAAAGCATTTGAGAAGTGATTACCAGTACACAGAACAGCCTTCCTGTGCCATTTAGGCAGCTGCATATTCCCACCAAAGCCATTAAGAATGAGGCTGAATGCATCTTAAAATGCAATTTCAAACAGCAGACATGGATGCTGAACACCCTCCTAGCCCCAGGCCAGCTGGGTACCCAGCTGACATGAGGTGCCCTTCCCTAGAAGGGAAATGTCCTATGACATTGCAATCTGGAGCTGAAACATCTGCACCTTCCTGAGGCCTTTGTACCATGGGCTTTGCAAGAGGGGACTGTGGAAGGAATCTCTTCTCGTGGCTGCTCATCACCTCCAAACAATGAGCATGCTATAACAATGCAAGCAACCAAGTGTTACAGGTTATAAAACGTCCATTGCCTACCGCTTCTCGGAGACACAGCTTCTTTAGCTCTTCCAAGCGTTGGCGCAGTGTCTCTTCCAAAGCTTCTTGCCTGGATTTCAGTGCAGCCAGCATGTCTTTCTTGGCAGACTGAGAACTATCTGACTCTTGGGAACCTATCAATAAACAATGATTTCACTAGGCCAGCTGACAGCAGAATACACATCTGGAGTGCTTGTAACTTTACCAAAGCCTGGATGCAGTTGTTCCAAAAAGAAAACAGACCGTGACACGAAGCAGGTGTTACCCAGTCATGTTTGTTTACGGCAAATTCTTAATGTTTAAGCTAACAGAGATTGGACAGTGGGACACAGAAAGACATTTGTAATCATTATCCAGAAAAATAAAAGCAACAAAATTATTCATGTAAAGATCCTAGGGAAAAAAAAGACATACCGTTCCCAGGAAAGTTCCCAATGGCAAATAACAGTACAGTTTACGAATCCCCAGAGATGCATTTTGGCAAAATTAAGCTTAGGAGAAACCATTTGACAATACAGCTTACTTCTTAAGAACTGCAATTATCCTAGTAGCAAACATTTAATTCAAACCACTTGCAGTTCCTGTTTTATGAAAAAATGTAATGGAACAAAATTACCTAGCAAGATTCCTGTAAAACACACCAAAACAACAATAACCCTTAGGTCTTTCTGGGATAGTAAGTGTTTCTTGTGAAGACACAGGTCAAGATATATAAACTGGATGTCCAAATGGTTTGAGTTTTCAAGTGGCAATTACCCAGAAGCTTCCACTGAAGTAAGTTCATGCATTAAGTCAGACTCTGTTGCTCACAAGCCATGACAGCATTTGTAATTTCAGCTCTTGAGGTGAACTTACTGATAGGGTTCCTGATTTTATTTTGGTTTGCGATGGTGCATCAATTGCTATCCCAGATCTAGCACCTCAAAGAACGGTCAACGTTGGCTGCATCCATTTTTGGGCCCCCAACTTCAGGGGCTAACTTTTTAGCATGTTCTTAGCGTTCACCCTCTTTAATGCACCTCTGGGAGGAGGGGTGAGTTTATAGCACAGTCACTGCTTTGCTCTGATCCCCTTGTTTGCATAAGCTGAGTGGATGTTTTCATCACAAAGTAAGGACATGAAGGTTATGGCTGTACTGTGAGATGAAAAGCAAGCTCAAGAAGAGGTAAATGCCATCTCCACACGCTTTCACTCATATTCACAGAATCACAGAACTGTTTGGGTTGGAAGGGACCTTAAAGATCATCCAGTTCCAACCCCCCTGCCATCAGCAGGGACACCCTCCACTAGACCAGGTTGCTCAAAGCCTCATCCAACCTGGCCTTGAACACTTCCAGGGAGGGGGCATCCACAACTTCCTTGGGCAACCTGTTCCAGTGTCTGACCACCCTCAAAGGAAAGAATTTCTTACTCATATCTCATCTCAATCTCCCCTCTTCCAGTTTAAAGCCATTTTGGTTCTGTCACTCCCTGCCCTTGTCAGAAGTCCCTCCCCAGCCTTCTTTTAGCCCCTTCAGGTATTGGGAGGCTTCTATAAGGTCCCCCTGGAGCCTTCTCTTCTCTTGAACAGCCTGATGCTGAACAGCCCCAACTCTCTCAGCCTGTCCTCATAGGAGAGGTGCTCCAGCCTCGTGGCCTCCTCTGGACTTGCTTCAGTAGGTCCATTTCTTATGATGAGGTCCCCAGACCTGGATGCAGCACTGCAGGTGGGGTCTCATATTACTGACTGTTGCTCAGCTATAGCTGTGGTTCAAAGCATCCACCTGAGTTTTATGGAAAGCCGAGTTCTGGCATCTGTGGTGGGGTCA